AAAAAAAAAAAAAAAAAAAGAAAACAACAAACCTCACCTCTCAGATAAAACCCGTTGAACAGAAAAATCAGGACAGTACTAAGCTCTTCCCAATTGGGTGTGTAATAGGTATATAATCAGGGAATCTTATCTGCAAGGCAAAAATTCACTTTTTAATTCCTGACCTGCTTAGCCTTTTTTCAGCATTATGGATGGACTCTGCATTTGTATTCTTTTTCCATATCCTTCCTGAGGACTGTATACTTAACCAAAGCTTGCAAGTTCTCCAGCTCTCTAGGAGATGCCATTGGTCTTACTAAATTTTGCTGCTTCTTTGGTGCTTCTTCCCACCCACAATGCCTCCCCCCCGCCTCCACCCTACCCTGCTTTAAACACAGAAGAGTTTGACACATGTGAAACATTTAATTCTGAAACTGAGAACTCCAGCACTCCATGTTTATCCATGCTATCAAGTTTAATTACATATTTCTACCACTCCCATGATGAGAAGATCAGTGCACCAGGAAGCACTGTTAACTGACCTATGCTATCAGAGTTCAGATTAATAACACCCTTAACTCTGCTGTTCTTAATGCTGGATACCGTGCTTTGGTAACATCAATGACTCCCATTTCCTGTAGGTTCTTCCTTTCACCTTCAGGGTCTACTGCTCTCCCATTGCAGGGATTTAGGAGTTACCACAACAGTCAGAAACCACTGATAACAGAGTATCACTTAAAAATAAAAAGAAGAGAGACTTCAGCAAATAAAACTATTACCTCATTAAGCAATCTTACCACATTACATTTTCCTCCCCCCAGTTTTGGAAAAGAAAGAGGATATTTCTGTAATTTTGCCTACAATTTCTACAAACAGAACTAAACAACACAGACTTATCAGTGACCAGTTCAGTCCATGCCAACATCACCAGGTAGCACAGCTCAGTTAGAGCAGATTTGCAAGCCAAACAGATGGTGCTGAGGACTTGACACTTAAACTAAATACATTTCTGGTGGTGTTCTCTTCAGATTAGCTCTACTCTCCTACCGTGGACTGAGAGTCCAAAAGCAACCGGACCGCTTCTTCTGACTCAGCTTCATTCAGGAGTCTGGTTCATACAATCAGATTGCTCTACAATATGAATCAAGAGCATAGTAAATAGGTTCAAATGGCTGCTGCTGTGAACATATCCTTTCTAACACACTTGTTCAAAAATCTGTTTGAAAAGTCTTGCTTTGCTCTGAATTGTCACTGCTAGTGATACTTTTTTTGAGACTAAACAAGCAGAATTGTCTAATATAAACACTTAAAAAAAAAAACAAAACAAAAAGCAGCAGTGGCTTCTTCTTTCAGTCTGTCAAGGCAAAGTTAATGATTCTTCAGCTCAAACTGCAAGCCTAGTTATGCAATACTCCCACTCTAAACTCACTCCTATAATGGTGTGTTGGGTTGCGGGCAGTTTTCTGGTAGTGGGGGAAGGGCCACCTTGTGAGAGCAAAAGCTCCCCTGGCTCCAAGGTGGAGACCCCCCAGCCCAGGCTGGGCCAATGAGCACTAGAGAAACGCCTCTGTGAATCCATGTTTGTGAGGGGAAGGACTGTCCTGAAAAGAATTAGGTGGAGAGAACCTGGAAGAGAGGCCGTTGACCTAACAAAAGACAACCAGCAGCCTAAACAAAGGCCAGATGGACAGAGAGCTTCATTGCCAGAGAAAAGAGGATGAGTGGGGACAGAGGACCTTGAGACACCCAGTTCACCTGATGGAGGAGGAGAAGGCAAAGGAGATTCTGCAGCCCATGGAAGTTAAGTTCAACATGGAGCAGATACCCATGTGTAGGGCATGAAGGACTCCAGGCTGGAGCAGAGAAGTTGAGCAAGTGTGATAGAACTAGGACCCCGAGAGTCGCTTGCTGCCAGAGCAGTAGTGGAGCACCAGAGTGGGGGGTGAGTCTGCAGCCCATGGATGTCCCCATGCTGGAGCGGGGAGCTGAGCCCGAAGAGGTCTGTGACTCCATGGGAAGTTCGTGTTGGAACATCTTGTTCCTGGACTTCCATGCTGGGAACAGCAGCAGAGGTGAACTGACTGAACCCCCATTCCCTGTCCCCTGTACTGCTGGGGGGGAGAAGGTAGAGAAATTGGGAGCAAAGTGATTTGAGCCTGGGAAGAAGGGAGGGGTGGGGGAAGGTGTTGTAAGATGTGGTTGTTATGTCTCATTGCATTACTTAGATGAAATGGCAATGAATTAAATTGATTTTTCTTCCTCAAGTTGAGTCTGTTTTGCCTGTGACCATAACTGGTGAGTGAGCTTTCCCTGTCCTTCACCCTGATCCCGTGCCCGCCTCTGTTGTGTCTCCCATCCCTTCTCACCAGGTGGGAAGGGTGAGTGCAGGACCGCATGGTCCCACTGTGGGTCAAACCACCACAGAGATATAAAAATTCAGAGAACTGTAATCAGAAAAAGATGGTGTCCTAACAGAAAAAATACTCTCTCAGAGTGGCATTCTTCCACTGACAGACATTATAGCTTGTCACATCACCCTGTTAAAATACATTGGTGTTTGCTCAATCTCCTATACAGCCTAGTACGATAATTAATGAATATGTCTCTTTATTCAAAATCAGTATCATTTAACTTAATAAAATACTACCAAATTGCAAATCAGGTTTAGTAAAAGCCTTAAAGACAGAGTCCTAGAGGTTTAGATTTATGGAGATACAAATTTTTAGCTTCTAACAATTAGGCCTAGCCACTGCTCTCTTATGAAATTATTTATGATCATACTCCTCATCTCATCAGCCCAAGAAAGAAAATCCACATTCCCAAACTCTGAGCCAGTATCATATATTTGTGACTCCTCTGCTCTCACTGTGTTCTTGTCATACAGAGACAAGAAGCCTTCTAGTTGAGACTCCATAGACACGGCAAAAAAGCTCCCCTAGCTCCAAGTACTACCAGGATCCCAGTGATTAGCAAAAAAATCCCACCCCAAACCACACCCACAAAAAACTAATTGCTTTTGTGCTTATAGTGAAAGTCGTAACATGCATTCAGCAGCCAGGAAAGTATGTCACATTTCCTTTTCTCTAGTTAAAAAAAAAAACCAAACAAAAAAAACAACCCAGAGTGCCCTTCTCCCAGACACATGTCTTAAGAGATGAAAGGACTCTAATCACTGCAAAGCACTGAATGTGAACAATCTATAGAAGAGAACTTAACACAAGTCTGATGAAGTTGACAGATCGTCAAGAAAGTGAGTCTGTGCTAGAAAATTATTTAAATTGCAATCAAGATGAATTATGTCAGGTAACTTCCCCCAAAGGAGAAAGAATTGATGTATATGTTTTTTCTATGCATGTGTATATAGATATATATATGCTCAACAAGTTTCAGTTATACAAATCCAACTGATGTGATTTGTTTGCAGCTTCAAGTGACAAAAACATCAAGTCTACCAACCAGAGCGGTAGAGTTAACCTTCTTCATTAAAGAAGGTTTAGAAGACTGCGTCAGTTAGTTATGAGATGTATAGACAAACAGCTTTTAAAGCTTCGTATTCTCTCATATACACAAAGCAAGCCTGTCTGGAGAGACTACATTCCAGTAGCACCACATAAACAACGATTCTTTGCTCTGTTGGGACAAGCAAAAGAGCCTGAGGCCTTTCAGCAGAATTGTTCTTTTGGTTCTAGTTGAAGAACCTGTTTCTAGTGTTCTTCAATCTCTTCTCCTCCTTGAAAGCTTGATAAATTTGGTACTGTGCCAAGCAGCAAAGTCTGCTGTTGATTCATGGTGTTCCTGTGCTAGTGCTATACTTGAGCATAGACTCCACTTTGTTTTTATTCTCTGCTTAAGTTGTGCACTGCAGAACACCTAACAAGGAGTTTTTTGGGCACATCGCTTTTCTCATCCGTCAGAAGTATCAGACAGTTCAGCTCACCAAAAAAGTAACCCCATGCTTGCTTGTGAAGTGTGCCATCACAACCTAATTATCTGCTACAGTTAAGACTATGATCACCCTCAAGCTTTTCCAGATCCTTCATAGTTGTACACAGCTGTGTTGTGGGATCACCCAGTTACAGCTATTATTGAGCTATGCTATGTACAGTCTCTCTATACAAAAGCATGTTGTAGTCATCTTAATGCAGTTCAGAGTTTTCCAAAATCACTATTTGCATGTTCTACACAAGAAAATATGAAAGATACTAAACTGTAGAGAAAACACAGAAAGAAAAGATATTTCAGAAATGCACACAGGATTTTGATTTATCCTTGTCTTGCACCTGTGACACTTAAGGTACACAAAATTGAAATAGAACAAGCATTTTCTTAACCTTGTTATCCCTTAAAATGAGAGATTTTTATGAACTGATCTTAACAACAAAAGAAAAAAACATACACCACCATGGAGAAAGCAAGTCAGAAGGCTACCAGATACAGTTACATCTCCTAAAATAGGAGCCTTAAGTTTTGCTATTTAAAAAAGGGTGCAGACATCCAAGCAACCAGACCTTTCATGACTGCCCTGTGGTTTTGTAACTTTTTGTCATGCTAAGATGAAACACAATTCTACAGGCGAACTCAAACAAATTTTTAGAGGCCTGCTCATAAAGCGCATAACAGCATTCTCCTAAAATTAGTTCCACATTAGAAAGACAGAGATTTCACCTAAAGTGAGACTTTTCCCATCCCCTCACCCCCATTCACCACACACATGCTGGCTACACACTCACATTCTGCACTTCATTACTTACCTGAAACAGCATCATAGAACTGCTCTTCACTGATGATGCTGAGAGGCGGAGATCCCTTAACCAGAGACTGCTCTAGTTCATGGTGTTCGGTAGCTAGCGTCTCTAATGCTTCTGACAAGATCTTGTTTTTCTCCTGCTCATGCTCCAGTTTCAAATTCCTCACCTATAAGTAGATACATGTATGAATAAAATCTCATGTCTCTGAAGAATGTGTAGCTGGAAGCTATTCAGAAAATAGACCCTAAATAACTGGCAAACAGCTGGAACTAAAGCCACATGGATTAATGAGAATATTACAGTATTTTTGTGATGACAATAAGGGTGTTACTCAGCATTTTCAGTAATTGAAAAATCTGACAGTCTAATTCACAATTCCATGAGTTAATACAAGCCAGATAACTATAAAACTTAAAACTGAGGGGAAATACTTACAACTCTACTTGGATGACCTTAGTTATTTAGTGATCCGTTTCTACACGCACCAAGCTCCTTGTACTAGTCTGCTCTAATTTGGGCCAAGGAGCATCATCTAAATTGAATTACAGAGCAAATGTGAATGTCAGCTACAAATAAATGCAACTGAACTACAAGCCGAAAACATTTAACCCTGAGGATTACAGAAGGAGGTTAAAAAAAAAGAGATCCCTCTACTAACTGATTTAACATCACCATAAACAGCCTTCCCTCCTCACTTCCAATACAGTTTACAGAGGAGCCAGAAGCTGACAAAGAAGCCCAGCCACCAGATGGTGGACTTTTTTTTTTTTTTTTTTTAAAGCCCACACATGCAATTGGCTCCAAAAAGGATGATGTTATTAACGTTTTGAGTCCAGGACTAGTAACAGGAGAGCAACATATCCTTCCTATTTCCTCCTCATTTTTTGTGCCGGTGCTTTCCCGCCTCATCTTTCTGCCAGAGGAGGCAAGAGGGCTGTAGCTGAAGGCTCAGGAAGCGCCTCTTCTCCCAGCCCAGCAAGGCTTCAATGGGCTACTTCTCCTTCCCTAAACCATTGACTCTGTTCCTTTCTCCCTTCCAGTCCCTTTTTAAAAGCATCCCCAAAGCCTGCCTTGTCCTCTAATTTACCCTCAAGGGTCAGTTTACAACGCTAATTTCCCCTCCACTAAAAACATGCGAGGACATGACAATTAATCTCTTGGAACAGTTAAAGAGACAATTACACACTTTTCTAAGCAACTTTATATACATGTACCAACATTACCTTTCTGAACCTAATTTAAGAACTGTTCATATGTCCTATCCGCTTACATTTTACATTAAAGCTTTATTTTGGAGGCTTCAGCCCCCTCAATTACAACAATCACGCAAATAGCAGATTCAGAGTTGGGCACAAATGAGGGGGTGTAAATTTAAGGGCTAGAAAGGAGATATTAAAGTGAATTTGCCACTTGCTAGAGGAGAGTTTCTACACTGGTAGACACATATCCTCTGGAGAAAGATTTATGGAAGAAATTTTCACCTCCTCAGTTGTGCCAAATACTAAATCAGCTGGTTTGGCTGCCAGGCTGTGAGTGTAAAGGGGCAATCCAACTAAATGATAATTAAAAGAGTATAAAATTTGGTTGCTTATTGAAAGTAATAAAACCAGTAAGTCATTTACTGTCTAATATATTAGTTTTACCCTGAACAAAATGAAAAAAGTCTGGACTAGTTACTGTCACGTTCATTTAGAGTTCACTCTGACAGTCCCAACGAAGCCAATTACTGCAATGTTTCATACAAATCAAACATGCCACTGCAAAAGATCTGTTATTAAGCAATTTCTGCAGGGGTTACATTTTGTATGCTATCAAATAGTTAAGGAACTGCCCATTTAGAGAAATAGCATCAGTATTTCACTCTCCTGAGAGAGGGAGGGCAGAGGACTGAAAATAAAATGGTACTCTTCATTCTTATTAAACAGCAAAGTAAAACCATCTATTAAAATGCTATTTGCAATTTTTTTTGCAGTATTGAATTAGATACCTTTAGGCTCTCACATTTTGTTTGGATAAATGATCTGATTTAAATCTTTACCTAAAACTTAAGTTTTAATGTTATTTAATAGCAAATTGAAAGAAAGTTCAAATGTATCTAAAAAAATTCAGATGAACCTTTTTTGGGTATTTGCATCCTCTAAAAGCACATTAGTGTGAATAAACCTGCAACAACAGATACAGGATTAAGACACCACACCTCCCCCCCCCAAAAAAAAAAATCTTTGATTGACTTTGATTGACTTCCTCTGCCCTGTCATAATATAGATCTATTTAGAATTACAGAAGGTGTAGTAAAAATAAATTCCCATTTTGGAAAATAAATAGCCAGCTTTACAGTAAGGTTCACTTTTCTGTGTACTTCTAGGCTTCCTAGCTGCCAAAAACCTACCAGTACAGCAATTACACACGACTAGTAGGTAACAAAAAAAACCCCCAAAAAACCAAACAAACCACCTTTTAATCTGTTACATAAGCAGCATAACACTAGCCAGAAGCTAAGGAAAAAATAAGACATGTTTAAGAGTTTGTTGCTTGTAACCTTTGGGATGTTCATTAATATCTCAATGAACTGGCTTTAAAGCAATCTTAATTGAGTACTTGGGACCTGGAGATGAAAGTCCAACATAAGTCTTTTTTCAACAGTACTGATCTTGTGGGATGGACACACACATTTAGAGAGCCGAGAGGTGACCCTATGAACCTCTACAGCCTAGTACACAGTGAAGGGTAAGAGTTTATACCAGCAGCTCTTTGGAGGTAGTGGCCTGGACATACTGTCTGTAACTACAGTATGTCCTTAAGTACTAAAACAGTTCTGCAGTGTCAATGTGAGAACCAAAAAAAAAAAAAAAAAACCAAACCTGTTCTACTACCATTATTTAACTGATTTAACCTGTAGAAAAGCAATGCTTGCAAAGATAGAGCTAGAACAACCTTTGTGTACTCTACTTAAAAATACAGGTATCACTGGAGAAAATCTTGTTTGAAATAAGCATACTTTTTATTTTTAAAAACAGAGCAGCTTTAAGCAATACCACCATTTTTAAACCTTCTCTTTCATTATTGAGAAGATACATCTCCTAAAACCTTCTTGCAGTAATTTCACTGTAAAGGCAGGATGGTTTTGTTGTGTGGGATGGGTTTTTGTTTTGTTTTTTCCAGAACCACATACTCCATTCTTTCAAGCTTAACAAGAAATACACAGGCAGATTGGCACTATTTTGAAAGCATAAGTTTATTATTGAACAACATAATTCACCAACTGAGTAATAGGTTTTTCACAAAATGTAAGCAGTAGATTGCTGTTATGCATAATTTTGCCATACTCTATTTTTCATTCACAAGACTTGGTCAAGTTCTGAGGTGAATTATTCTAGTCTTCCTGGCTACTCTGCCCTATTTTTTTGAGGTAAAACTTTGGGAAAAGGGATAAAGCTGAAGTGTATTCTTCCCCATCCTGTCTTCTTCAGTGCCCCAACACAAAAACAACTATAAGATTACAGAAGGAATCTCCAGACTAGTTTTAAAAATGCTTATTTAACACAAAGGCTTTTGGATTTATATATAAAGCAGGGAGATGAGCATAAACCAATGAAGAATATATCCACTTCCAGAAGTATACACATTCCAGTCTACTAAAGTGGACACAAATGGACCAATATTTTTCAGCGGAATACCATCTGACTTTGTGAAGCTGCCTTAGCTGACTACTGCACTATTTTACCCAGTTATACAAATGTTTATATAAGGTAGTAAGTATCACACTAAAATGATGCAGGTATCAGTATATACACAGCTCTGGAAACCCAGGCTGAGCATACCCCAGAACATATCAGAAGAGACATTTTATAGACAGCCTGAGTAAGGCACAGCTTGTGATACAGCTGTGGTTTCTGCACCTTCAGTAGTGGTGCCTGCGCCAAGAAAGAGACAGATGGCAATTCACATCGTACTGAGTTCAGCTCCTCATCCTCCAGCTATGGAACGGCTGTCACCTTTTTGATCTCTGCTACTGGTCCCTGCAATGCCAGTGCCACCATCAGTGTTATAAGCTTTCCAATGAGTTTCACAGGGACAGTGGCACAGAACACTCTAGCAAGCCTGGCATGAGGCCAGCTAAGACCCCAGTTTTCAACTGGTCAGGCTTCCCACCTTACCCTTGTCAGGAGCTATTCTGCACAAGATCAATTATAGTTATCAATAAAGTCAGGATTGAGCATCCACTGTTAGACAATGACAGTTAAGATCAGTCTTGTTTTCATCTCTAAAGAGATTATTATAGTGAAACTTCAAATTTATAGTTGCTGATGGAAACTGTCTAGCTTTGTCTAGCAGAAAAACAATCATTAACCTTACAGCTACAAGCTGCTACACTGACACAGAACCACCAAGACTTCAGTATCTAGGTCAGTACAACAATTTATTTAAAAAACCCAAATAAATGACAAACAACCCAAAACTTCTCCAGCTGAAGAGGTTTGATATCCAAGTTCTGGAAACTGGTTTCACTTCTGGTTGAACTGAATGTGAATCTGCTTCCAACATCTTCCCATAAATATCTGGGTCCTTCAGGCTGTAAGCACTGAATTGTGAGTTTAAATAGTAGAATTAAGTTATTTTAGCGGTCAGAACTCTTATCTATTTTATTTTTTTCTTTAGAGGAAAGCAACAAGCTATTTGCAGACACTTCTGTTGTCTTTCCATGCTATTAGAAATCCTGCTAAGCACAGAAGTATGTTTAAAAGTTAACTCCTTTGTTCCATATTACTAGCAGAAAGTTCATGTGCCTATTTCAAGATATCAAAAAGCTTACGTGTGCATAACAAACACCAGTCTTTCCTTTCTGTACCCTCATCTTCCATGAGGTAGGTGGGAGACTAGGAACATGCACTAAACCACTTTTTTTTCTTTTTCTTTTTTTAAAGCCTGAAATCTTGAACTATATTGGCACAGCCCATAACCAAGGCTTCTCTGTCTATCCTGAAGACATCTCAGTACAATACACAAAATACTTGCTTTGTTTGGTGCTGGATGCTTTTAATTTAAATTGATGCCCAACAACAGTGGCACTTTTGTGGGGTAGGAAAGGGTCACACCACTGAATGGCCAGCTAATACATTATCATCTCAGCAACATGCTATTGCAGCTGCAAGTAAACCCT